GCGGGCGACGGGGTGGGCGCTGTGCCGGCGGCTTTAGGCGCAATTAGCGTCGACGCGCGAGAAACGGAGCGCGACCGCCCGGCGGCCGCGCCCACGCCGCCCGACACGACGCGAGCGGACGCCCGGGCGCCCCACGACGCCGCGGCACGCCGGGCCCTTCCGGCGCCGCAAACCGTAGACCCAAACACGTGGCGGTGCGCCGGGCGGCCCTCCGCCAGAGACGGGATGCAAGACATGCTTCGTCGCTGACAACGGCGCCGGATCTTAGTACTACCGGCCCCCTAAGCCACAAAATTGTCTCCCCCGCCCCAACACGTAAAAATGCTCCATCTTGTATTGTTAATCTAATACAAGTACTTTCCCTTGTAAGAAATGCAAGTGGAAAACTACATTTTTATTTAAAATTTTGCGCTGTACTATTTTTTACATTATACTTTTATGTTACAAAATATTTATATTTTTTTCAAAGCATGGGCCTTCATGGATGCCCCCTCCCAAGTAATTGCTTGTTTTGTTCGTGATGTTAATCCATCTGCCTGCAGCGGCATTCCAACTTGACACAGAGACAGTGTTGCCTGTTGAACGCGACGGCTAGAGGAGTAGGTAGGCAAAGAGACTTGTTCGAAAACTGTGATTTCTCTCATTTTCTCTATCGGTAAACGCATAATTTTACATTTTATATCAGACATCGATCATCGAATAATTAAACATGTAATCTAGTTGTGCCTGAACATTAGCATATGGCATGGATGCATGCAGTTGTAATATTTAGTTCGTAATCTAGTTTTAGTAGAAATGTTATATAAAGCTCAAGTCGATTCTGATAGATACTTAATATTCCAAATGAATTTGAGGCCTAATGTTTCGCTAAAGGTGATTCCGGGTTTTGGTTTCCTTGAGAGAATGCTCCGCTGTCCCTTCGACCCGGCCTCCTCCCCCCGCCCCCCTCCAGTTCCTCCCCGCCTCGCTCCTCATCGCACGCCGTCGCCTCCAACCTCCCCGTCACACCCTTCCGCTACCCACCTTCACCGTAGGCTTCCGGCTCGAGTCCATACTTCTAGGGCGTCGGGTGACGCGGTCGTGGCAGATAGGCCGACGTTTCGCCTTGTCATGTGAGGCTTCTTCAGCGGTACTGACGATGACCTCAGTACCCTGAAGAAAGCCCTGCCCGACATGACAGGCGAAAGTCGCCCTAACTTGCCAACGACGCGCGTCACCCGGACGCCTAAGAAGTAACACTCCAGCTCTCCGCCTCCGCCTATCACTCACCCGCCACCTCCTTCGGTCCTTCCGCCTCCAGCCCTCCCACGCCTCACCGCCATCGACACGCCTCCTCGTCGCCTCCAAACCTTCCCCGTCACACGCTCCTCACTCCCTCCAGCGCTCCCGCCCTCTCGCCTCGAGCACGCCCTCCTCGATCGCCTCCAACTTCCCGTCACACCGCTACCCTCCTCACTCCAGCCTCCCGCACCCGCCTATCCTACCCGCTCTACTTCGGTTCCTCGCCGCCCCCGCTCAGCTCTCCCGCCTCGCTCCTACCATCGCAGCCGTCGCCTCCAACCTTCCCCGTCTCCTCCCCGCCCTTCTCTCACCCGCCTCCAACCCTCCCCGTCCCGCCCTTCCTTCGCCACAGACCCGCCCGCTCGCCAAGCCGGCCTTCCTAGAAGCGGGTTGCGGGGGCGGGTTGCACGGCGGCCGAGGGGACCCCTAATGAGCTGCTAATTGAGACGAATGCGAACGCGAGCGGCGGAAGCGGGAATCGGCGTCTGCGCCTGCCTGCAGTGCTTTGTCTCCTCCGCCAAGCCTCCAGGGGAATATCACTCCATGGCCCATTGAACAAATTCGCACCATCACGAAACATCGAATCAATGCTATGCAACGACAACGGCGCAGCAAATCGTCAATTCCCATGTATTCCGCAAAGAAAGTTTCATTTGGTTTATCTCTTATTTCGCCTCTCTCAGGGAATGACGTGAGTAGAGAGCAAAGAACTGCGACTGAGAGGTGACTTATATCGGCCCGTGGAGGGAAACGTGAGAATCCAAAATCACACGAGGGCGCTATAGTGACAAACAAAAGAAATCTCAAATTCAGCACTCGTATGTGATCCCGGCCATAGGTATTAGGGAACAACAATATTTGGATAATTTATGATTTTGTAATAAACAAGAAACTCATCATCTTCAATTTACTTTTAAATCTTCGAGCATACGCCACCCATTTGCATGAAAATTTCAAAAAAACTGTTTATTCTAGTTATAATTACAGTTATAAATCTAGTGGTACTACAACAGCCCGAACATTCTCGCATTATTTCTCATATATATGAACAAGAATTACCATATGTCTATCTATAAATCTCTCTCTCTCTCCCTTCCGAAATCAATGATCGGGGTTTTCGTGGTTTCCCTCCGTTACAAAGGAAATACTGGGAGGGTTCTAAAAGCCTACGAAAATCTCCCACCTTCCACTACCCCACCTAACAGCTCCTACTATCATCCTAGTAATTTCAGCCCTCTCCTCATCCCATTATAATAATAATAATAATAATAATAATAATAATAATAATATCTTCCCCAATTGATATTCAAAGTTAACACCCTTGTCTTAACCAAGGAATGCAGTCGAAAGGCTGATCCCCATAATTCCACACGTTGATCTCTCCAGAATACACGCTGGGGTCACACGCAGAATACACCCAGGATACAACTGGGACTCGGAGAGAAAAATGTGCTGCGTGGTCAGTTGTGACCCATACGCGAATAATATAATATACCAACAAGACGTATCCACTTTTTCGTTACCTGGGCAATACGACTTTTTCAGCCGGAAAATCATCGGTTTGCGTCGCAGCATTACAATACTTTATCTTTAGTCCGTAGGTAGTTCGTGGGCGGGGAACTATAAATAGATACATTATTGTTGGGGAGGACGGAAACGCAATGCTTGTTTCTACGTGTGGCGGCGGGGCCGGGGACCACCTCGGGGCTGCTCCGCCCGCCGAGACGCGAGTGGCGCCGTGCCTGGGGTGGGGGGTGGGGGTGAGTGATGGTGGATGGCGCGTCGGAAGACAACCGCGACGCTGCCTTAATTACTTGTCATCGCGCCCACCGCCACCCGCCGCCGCATCCCGCCGCCGCCGCGGGCGCGTCGCCAGAAGCCGCCGCGCGCTCGCGCCCTCGCGCCCCGCCGGCTCGTTATCTGGAGGACATCGGATCCAAGGCGGAGCATTCCGGCGCAGATGCGACAAATTTCTCGGGGAGAGGAGGACGGTAGCATTTCAACAGCTGCGAAATACGCGGAGGGCGCGGAGGAGGCCAGACGGCGCTTCCTGTACAGGACATAACGCTCGAAATCAAACGGTTCTCTCCCACAGTCTGGGGTAGAAATGAACTCTTTAAGGCAGTGTTATTTCAAACGAGATTTTTTTCCATTTCTGTATTTGGCGAGTTACAGATAGACCTACCGGTCAATTTGAGAGCTTTTAAATTCTTTTATTGAAACTGCACTGTGAACGGGAAATTTTGTATATTTCTATCTAAGTCAGATACACGAAACTTTAAGGATGTAAATTTTCGATAACATTACACATTCACAAATACAAGTAGATTAGGGTGGGGACGCTCCAAGTCACATCACTCTAAGCAGATAAAACCGAATTTTACGTCAAGTATCATATTAACATCTTATCTAATATCTGACAAAGAACAATGATTTATTGCGGACGTCGTCGCTTACAGTATCGCATTCAATTGTGTTCTGTGAAACGATATTCAACGTCTGCTGCATTTAAAAAGCGCTCGCTGGCCGTGTCGTTGGCGGCTGCGAGGGAAGCGAGGGGGCGTGGCGCGGGGGAGGCTCGCAAACATGCGAGCGTTTGGACGCGGGGGGGGGGGGAGCTGGGCTATATTTGCCAGACTGACCCACATTCACTCAGCGCTCCTCCGCAGGGGCGACTCACTAGTCCTTGCCGAGGGGGACAAATGTTGGGCCCCTCTTCATATTTCATTATTTTACGCGGAGTAAAAAATATAACATACAAACTCTAATATTTCGTTCTGTAAATTGTTGTTGTTGTTATTATTATTATAATTATTTCTTCACAGCAAACACTTCACACTCTTAAATTTGCCTGATATCAACAGTTAAAAAAACAGCAAACAAATAAAATCATGAGAGAACATCATGAAAAGATTTGCAAAAATGCACGTAATTTTTAGCCTGAAGATGGAAATAATTATTTTCGGAAACGTTACTGTTATTATTATCTATCACATGTTATACATTGATATCAAACACTTATTTTGTAATAATTTACTGTCTTTAAAATAAAGAGCCAATTAGATTCAGGCAAAATTGAAAAGACCCTAGACAGAAATCAAATCTGTCTAAATCAAATTTAGTTGACTGTTGTCTACCCACAGATAAGGCTACATAGTTCTAAAATGGATCCTTCTGAAGTCAGAGAGAATGAAATTCAAAACAGAAGATATGGAATTAAATAATAATAATAATAATAATAATAATAATAATAAGAACAACAACAATAATAATTGAACTAAAAATAAAATTACCTTAATTACCGGCAAATAGGAATAAATAAAACTTTAATCCATTAAATGATAATCTTATGTTAATAAAAAATATTCTTATTTTGGAGTAGAAGAAAAAGAAAAAGAAGAAAAAGAAAAAAAAAGAAGAAGAAAAAAAAGAAGAAGGAGAAGAAGAAGAAGAAGGAGAAGAAGAAGAAGGAGAAGAAGAAGAAGAAGAAGAAGAAGAAGAAGAAGGAGAAGAAAAAGGAGAAGAAGAAGAAGGAGAAGAAGAAGAAGAAGAAGAAGAGGGAGAAGAAAAAGAAGAAAAAGAAGAAGGAGAAGAAGAAGGAGAAGAAGAAGAAGAAGAAGAAGAAGAAGAAGAAGAAAAGTGGATCCCAAGTGCAGCAAGTCAGCACAAGTGGAAAAAGCATGTCTGCTCGGGAAGGCTGCGAGGGTTACCTGTATGACGCGCATGGGCAGGCCGGTCTCCTTGGCGAGCTGCTCGCGGATGTGGCGCGTGGGCTTGGGCGTCTGCGAGAAGGCGTTCTTCAGGATCTCCAGCTGCTTCGCCTTGATGGTGGTGCGCGGCCCGCGCCGCTTCGAGCCGGCGTTGCCGTCGTCCGGGCTCTTGTTCTCCGTCTGCGAGTCGCGCGTCTCCGGATCGCCGTCCAGCGACCCTGCGCGCACACACACACACACATACACACACGCGGGTTGGAAGCGTTTCGTAGGGTAAACATGTCTTAGGCGTGGATGGTACTCTATAAATTTTCGTAACAAATTCATATAATAAAGATACGCTATAATAAAGAAATTATGAATTTATACAAAGGCGAATTAGAATAAATTGAAAATTTTAATATAGTGGTGAGCATCATCATCACCATTTCGAAGTGTAAACATGTCTTAGGCGTGGATGGTACTCTATAAATTTTCGTAACAAATTCAGATAATAAGGATACGCTATAATAAAGAAATAATGAATTTATACAAAGGCGAATTAGAATAAATAGAAAATTTTAATACAGAAATGAGCACCATCGTTACCATTTCGAACTGTAAACATGTCTTAGGTGTGGATGGTTCTCAATGTATTTTTAGGCAGTCAATTTTTTCGTAATAAATTGAGATAATAAGGATACAATATAATAGAGAAATAATGAATTTATACAAAGGCGAATTAGAAGAAAAAGAAAATGTTAATATAGAGATGAGCACCATCTTTATGTGTAACACGTTTTAAATCAATTAAAAAATAATTTTATAATAATGTGTGGAATTGTTTTTATAGTTCCTAAGAAATAAGACATGTTCCTGAAACGACGTGTAATAAAGAAACTATTTTATAAGATTTTCTCAATTTCTAACGAAAAAAATGACTTGTTTAAAATATATAGAGAACCATACAGGCATAATTATATTATGAATAATAAGACAGGCATAACATAAGAAACTGTAAAAATTATTTGAAATGATAATATTCACTTCTTTCAAGTTCTTTTTTGATTTAAAAACCGATTAGAGATATAATACATTCTTATATTATTATTACTACTACTTCTTCTAACATTTCAGTGGAATTTAATGGCGTAACAACTGGGAAATTAAAATTCCATGTTTTCAAGAGACTATGATTTCTTTATTGATTGATTTATTAGTGATTCCAGGTACGTCAACTACTAAGATCATTAGACCCTTAAGTGTAGTTCATATTTATCGCGGAAGGAAGATGTGATCTTCTCTCCTCGATGACGAGATCCGGCGCCGACCAACACGTTGACTAGTGGGGGGTTCCCCAATTAGACATCCTCCTCCAGCGGGGCACCGCCCCAACCGGGATGCGTTCTAAGATCCTAACTACCGTCCCGGCGTGTGTGTTAGTGTAGCACGTAAGTGTAAGAGTAGAGGAAAGGACAAGGAAGGAGAAGGAAAATTGCGCGCCCGTTTGTTAGGGTACTGCTCCAGCATTGGCCAGCTGTTGATCGGAGAAACCACGGAAAACTATCGTTCAGTGCAGACAACAGCTGGAATTCTCCCCCAGACAGCAACTGAATTTGACCTAGCTATCTGGCAAATCGTCAGTACTTGACCCGAGGAACTCCCGGTCAGAAGCACTGCTTGACATACCTTGAGGCCCTAAGCCACGTTCAAAAACGCTAAATTAAATGAACAAAATGTTTTGTATACTTTACTTCAAAATTATTTTTCTAAATTTTCTTTTTTACATATTTTTTACTGATACAATGCACTAATTAATTAATCATAAAAGGGAGTTGCCGAATTCATGTTTGCCATTGTCAGATGATGTTTGAACTCAAAGAGTCACAACGGAAACTGCGACTGCCAACACCCACTGGTCGGTTGGTCCAACATCCTCCTCCATCCTGATAAGTTTTTTATCTGGAGTCATCGCTGGCAATCCACCACGATTTGCCTTTTGAACGTCTTCGTTACATCTTTACTTTTTTCTCTAATAATTGCTATCTCGACACCCATTAATTTTGTTATCAGTATATCAATTTTTGCTACTTTAATTTCCAAAACTCATCTCCGTTTACCTTAGACATCCGTTAAGGAACTTCTCATTGCAAAACAGTGTTCGTGTCAGTAGTGCAAAGCAAATGTACTAAATCACCCAATACAACAGTTTCACTGACCACTAGATAACTATTTCTTAATATTACACTGAACGTCTTGTATTTCTTGCTTCCCGTAAATGTCCACCGTCAGCAACGTACACGAAATTATACTGTTTCAATTTTGTAGGGAATTTTCGAAGCGATTCGGTCGTTTCCACGGGGAGTTGTTTATTCCATAGTCATGTTCCTTAAGCACGCTCGCCAGCCGCTTGGGTCCGAGGCGACCCGAGTCTTTTGCATTCCAGGCAGCGGCTTCCTGGCGACTCTTTCCAGGAATCGGCGCGCGGACAAGGAGGTGGTGAGGGAAGGGGTGGAGAGGGGAGGGGAGGGGGGACGCGTGCCGCGCAAATGTCAGGGCGAGGGGGCGCGTTCATAAATTAAGCTTCGCTGGCGTTACGGCGGCCCTCCCTCGCGCGCTGCGGCGACGAAGGGAACGCAAGGAACGGGTCGGGCCCGCGACGGTCACACAGGACCCACAGAGTTTATGCTCCTGACCGAGGGCGGAGCCAGAGACAAATTTTGGGAGGGGAAATTCAAAATGTTTTCGGCAAATCTGTCATTTTACAGATTCTGTAAAATGCCGCAGGCTACAGTCAGCTCATGCTGCAATAAGATTTTATTCGTTTTAATGATTATTCGAAAATATTTTTGTTTGGAAGTTTCCTGATAGCTAGAAGTTAAAATTTAAAGTTACTGGAAAAAAATGCTCCAATATTCGCCTGGTGTTGATCGGAGAAACCAAGCAAAACTACCGTTTAGAGCAAGAATTTTCCTCCAGACAGCGGCTCAATTTTACCTTCGAGCTATTTAACTAGGGTTAAAGTCCTGCGACCATCGGGGTTTAAAACCTAGGACCTCCCAGTCAGAGGCACTGCAGTTACATTAATTGATGCCCTGAGGCACCTTAAACGGACCTCCACGTCGGATTGCGAGGTTTTTCCTCCCCTGACAGGGCACTCCCCCTGCTGGAACGATCTTGAATTCTCTATTGATCTCCCGACAAGGGTAAGAGGTAAGGCGTAAGGAGGAAGCAAGTGCAAGGAAGAAAATATTACCCGCGGTCCTTCACCCGACTCAAAAGATACTTCTCCGGAATTCGCCTGATATTGAACGGAGCAACCAAGGAGAAGTACCAATCAGAGCAGCCGACCTCTAGATGTCTCCTCCAAACAGCAACTGAATTGATCCCAGTTATCAATTTAATGTCGAAAATTTCCCACTGTTGAGACTAGAAACGTAGGACCACCCATCCAAGACTCTGCACCGGATGTTGTCGCTGAGCCATCTTAGACTCACAATGTTCGAGCCTGCTATTTTGTTGTTAACAACTCATAAATTCACCTATACGTCCACACATTACGACCCCGTGATCAAACTGGAACACCTTCTCTCTTCTGAGAGACACCCGGCGTGCGATCAGGCCCTATTGCCAGGCGGCAACACGCTAGTTCTCCGAAAAGTTAAAAATATTTAATATCCAGACAGTTGTTACAATAAAAATTTGTTCACATAGCTTCCTCTAGCCAATTAACTACTGATGAAAAGGGTATCATATTCGCGTAGATTTAACGTTACAAGGTGTCACAATACGTCACACCGATCTAGCTTCCATCGGTATGAGATTTCGTGAACGTTAGGGTTTATCGGAGTAACGTTAGCATTATGTCGATATGAAGACAAACGTATAAAGAGAAATAGTATTAGGTATGCTCACTGAAATGCGAGTAACTATGCAAAATGCTATGCTACGCTACCACACTACCCTGAACACTGATATAGTACAATGACGACATCCTAAACACTGATGACAAGTACACTTTGTAGTCTGACAGATCCTATATCCTCAGAAATTATGCATATTGTAAGATGTACTAAAACATTTAAATTGCTTCAATGGAACTTTCAACTTCGAGCCTTTCACCACGTTTATATTGTTTTCTGTGCCGGTGACTATTCGTTTTGCAAATACTCGTTTACTTAGGGAAGTCTATTTTTTTTATAATTTTGCTTTCAAAGGAATTGCGGAGTTAGAGATTCTCCTTGCGAATACATCCCTACGTAGATGTTATTGCAGTGGCCGAATGGACAAACTAGGGCCTCTAATTTTAAATTCATCGCTGGAGAATTTCAATTATGCATTCAGAAATACGAATGTTTTGTGAGAGCCACAAATGCGAAAGAATATAGTATTATTATTTTGAATAATAAAAAATAGCATTACACAAAAGAAGGGAACTTAAAAAATATTTCTATTCTTTCTTTACAAAGTGTGAACTTGTTTCACGTCTTTCTGCGAGAAAAAAATTGGAGTCAATACTGTAGATTGGCAGCCAAACTGACTTGACTTTTTTTCAAATACGAGTTCAGTTTTCAAAACCCGACCTAATCTACCCAAAGGCAACCTATTCAAATGTTTTCTACAGAATCACTTTTCAAAAAGTACGTCTTTTTTAGCTAATGCAACTTGTGAAATTGACTTTTCAATTGATTGTCCTGGTAAAACTTTTTTTTTATATTTTTTTCGTTTTTACTAATACTTTCTATAAAATTCACGGAGGTAACCTGAAACGAAGAGATGCAGTTCATGGCTCCCTGGAAATGCTCTGACGCAAGCAAACCGACAAGCAAATGGAATAAGGTTGAAGAAACATTTTTCTGGCATTAATTCTGGTATTAACCATTTCACAAGCACACTGTGTGTATATCCATTTCTGTCAAATTATGTATTCAATTTTTCTTTCTGGCCTTAAATTATAATTTGCAAAGTATCTTGTACCCAAAGAGTCGATACTCAGATACAAATCATGGAAATTGCGCAACAAGTTACTTCTCTCGTTATCATTAATTACAATCAGTTCTAATTTACATTTTGTTTATTTCTCTTAAAATAAAGAAGCGTTGTGCATCATGACACGAAAATGAGCAACACTTACAAATGAACCCAGAGATAAATATAATGAACCGCAAAATTCAAAAGATTGTACAAAAATATCAAAAGTATTTCTAACAGTAAAGCTAGTTAGTTTAACATAAACTTATTTCAACTTCTTAAGACTTCTGGCTTTTTCATTTAGTTAAAATAACTATCAATGTCAAAAAAAATTATATGAGACAGGTGCCGCCCTCTCCTCTTTCTGTGTCCTAGTCTGGTACAGTACGGTCACCTTTACATTATTACTGGCACTACTATTTTACAAGGTTGAGACTCATTATCTATTTCCATCTAACGTAGATTATTTCACATATAGCGGAGAAAAATTCGTTGAAATAATAACAGATGTTAAATTAAGATTATAAAACATAAAACTGTCAGTACCGACGTACGGAATTCCTCAATAATGACTCTGCTAATAATTCCGCTAACTTGAGTGTGTGAAAGTTGCAACAATATTGTATGGTCTGTAAATGTGAGAATTATGCTGTATGAGTGTATTTTTTATTATTTTAACAATTGATTTTAAAAGTAATTAATACATTTCTTTTTAACCAAGCTACGTTCTTGTAAAAGGGTTCCTGATATGCATTAAACTTGAGTTATCAGAGCTCACATTGCATTAGAAAATAATAGAGAATATGTTTTAATTACTACAAGATTATTAATTTTTTTTTGTTGCTGCATAATTCCCACCTTAACTTTAATTCACATTAACAGGAAGTTAAGTTGAGAGTTGCAGGAGTAGGTTAGGCAGTGTCCCGATTTATTTATTCTTCGTCCAGGTGACGTTCCCCCTTGGCCCTGCTCATCTCCTGGTCGGAAACGTCCCACGCTCCGCCGCCAGCGCCTCTGGCGGCGCGGCCTCGTGCTTGTTTACGGCGCAGGGCCCTCACGCACCCGGCAGCGCGGCGAGCCCGAGGCCGCGCTTCGACCCCCGCGCCCGCACTGGATGCGTTTTGATTTATGCTAATGTATTCAAGCGGGCGAAACGATAAATCCCTCTGCCCCGGCCGCCCGCCCGGCCATCTTGGTGACGTCACGCCGGCACCTGCCCGCATCCCATTATGAGGCGGCCTTTCGCGTGGGATGGTCTCCTCCGCCCCGCCTCCTCTCCCCCTCTCCCTCAGAATACATTTAACATTTCAAATTCCTTCTCTTACTCACAATCATAGTAAAGGTATTTTCTTGAGAACTTGTCAGGAATTGCAGGCTCGGTGACTAGAGACTGGCCGCAAATTAAGAGACGTGACCCTTCTCTCCGAAGCACTGAATCCGCACACACGCAATACCCATTCACTCGGACCTTTACTTCTTTATTTACGTATGGATTTATGTATTTTCTTAGTTGGGCGGACGCGCGTGTGTGGGCCCCGCGTAATGCAGCGTTTCTGTCACGTCGCGCCTTCAGATGGAGGTTAGCGCGCGTCACTCCACTTGAGGTTCGTTTAATAGCGCAAGTCGGATCGCGAGATCTTACGAAACAGGTAACAGGCAGTCGCAACCTCCGACGCATTCAGCCGACTTGCACAAAAAGAGACGGATGGGAAAAGTCAGATGTGTGTTAACAAGCGAGGTCGGGCGCAGGCATTTCGCGTCAGGAGAGACTGCCAGCTGTAAAACCAAGGTTTATTTTGCCGATGGATGTGAAGGCATAATGAGTAGCCTTTTAATGAGATCTTGCACAATGCTCTTCAAAGTTATGGTTGTAGAAGTGGAAGTTTAGGAAATGATTCCATAATTAACAGTTCAATAAATTATCTCAGACATTGGTTCTTAGATATTATAGGGTTCAATTTTCTTTAATAAATGAATATTCTTATCTGAAGGCACTCGAGCAAGAGTCTTTGGAAACTGAGAAAATAGATCTCCACACATTAATATTATTAATAATCTTTTAGAAAACCAGATCGATGCGGTAACGAAATACACCATTTTTACATTGCATTACTTGTATATTAAAATAATTTGTTTTTACGTTAAAATCTATGTACCGAAACGAAAAATTGTAGGCAAAAAAAA